GCAGGAATGGATTCTAATTTTACTGTGCCTTTAAGGTATCTGTCAGATGATCCTTGAGTTTTGTGATTTGCATTTTAGAATGTGAAGAATGCTGAGTGTGTGGAAGATGGAGTTGAGGAAGAAGGGAGGCGGGCGGCAGGAGACAGTAACACCTCTTAGATGCAGGGTGATAAAGGCTGGAACTAAGTTGGTGACTGCAGAGATGTTTTGGAGATACAGTCAGGTAGACCTGGTGATTATTTGACATAAGGGGAAATTGGGAGGCGGTGTGTGTGGAAGAGAGTCTGGCAGGCATCTTTGGTGATGATCTCTAGAGTGTTCATTAGGTGGCTTTGAGTCTTTGAAGTATCCTGGGCTGGGGATTTCCTAGAAGGAGGCAATGAAAGAAGTTTAAGTGGGGTGTGAGCCCTGTTAGAAGTGGTCCCAGACCCAGGGGGAGTCAACAGGGTGCAGTGAAGGAAGCTGTGAGCAGAGAGGTAGAGTCATAGGGGGCTGAGGAGAGACCTTAAAAGCCCCTTAAAGCCCCCCTCAGACCTGTATTTGCTTCCAGCTTCAAGTTTGGATAGTCAGTCATTTGTGATGCTGCCCCCCAGTGATGAAGTGGTGACTATTCTGGAAACTCTGACAAGCAGATGCCTCCATGGGAAGAATTATTGCCAGCAGGTCCTCTGTCTCTATGCACTTGCCAAGGTACGTGCCAAAGGGCTGGGTCTCCACAGGAGCTCCCTCTGAGAGGGAGGGAAGGGAGCGGGTGAAGGTGGATTTTGGACACTGCCCTCGGTTAGCCCTTCAGATTATAATCATGACCTGGGAGTAGAGCTCTTGTCAGGATGTTGGCCCCTATAAATCCATCCCTGGGGAATAGTGGTGAGCTTTCCATATGGGAAAGAGCCCAAAATAAGTTTTAAAATAAAATTAAATGGAATGTGATGACTATAAAACAGGAGCCAGAGCAGCCAGGAATTGTTCTGGCTTTGTGCTGATTGAGGGAGAAAAAGAGTAGATTCTAAGTGCAATGGAAGAGCATGAGAGAAAGCAAGCTGAGCACTAAAAGCCCTTCCTTGGACTACAAGGCTCAGAGACTTCTTTGGAAATTGAGGGTTTCCTGCTGCCACGGGAACAATAAAGAAAGGGCTCTGCCTTTTATTCAACTTCCTTAGGTTTCATAACATTTGAAAAGCTCAGTGTTCAGGGAGAGATCAGTCACCTGATGTTTTCTGAAGACAAGCCTTTCTCTTGCTTGGATTTACCTCACTGGCAAAGCAATAGAAAGGGCTAGAAAACAGTGTTTGCTTCTTCTAAGGTTTCTGCTCAGGATGAGGGATCTTTAGGCTCAGAAAACCATGGCGTCTGTCCACATCAGATTTCAGGAAAGGCTGTCTTCTGCTAGCTTTTTCCTGGTTCCTAATGATGGCTTGGATTGGCTCTGCCTTCCTCTCAGGAGTTGGGCTGTTCCTACACAGATGTCGCTGCCCAGGATGGTGAGGCCATTCTCCGGGTAATCTTGGCCTCTCAGCAGCCTGACCGATGCAAGCGAGCTCAAGCCTTCATCAGCACCCAGGGCCTCGAGCCAGACACAGTGGCTGAACTTGTGGCCGAAGAGGTGACCCGGGAGCTGCTGACCCCATCAGAGGGAACAGGTGCCCTACCTTTCAGGCCTCCCCAGCCTTTCAGATCACATTCTCAAGTTACCAGCATTAAGGATTTGATGTTATGCTCATATATATCTTGTATGCTGTCCTTTCAAGTTGCCAGGTTGCACTTGTAAGAGGAGAACACATTGCATTTATTTTGTTATTATTGCTTTTTGTTTATTGTTTTATGATTATATTTAGAGTAACTGTGTCTTTCTCTGAGCTAATGAGCTCCTGTTGTCCTGTAAGATGGCATCTCACCTGAGATATTTGACCCCAGCAAGAGGAGAGCTGCCCCGGAGCACCTTCATCATTACCTCCTGGTGCCCAGGCCTGGGCAGAATGGGCCTCCTGCCCTGGGGCTCTTGTCTTCCTTTCATCTCTCTCAAGGTAAAACTAGCACCTTTCTCCACATCTTTCTGTATAGGATATAAGCAGACGTTCACCCCAACAGAGGAAAGCCAGACGTTTCTTCAGCTGACTGCTCTGTGTCAAGACCGCACCTTGGTAGGCATGAAGTTGTTGGATAAGATTTCCTCCGTTCCCCATGGGGACTTGTCTTGCAGTAAGTTCTTGGCCACTTTCTTGCATGTTTTGGGCCCAAGCAGGTCTCTAAGAAGTCTTCTGAGGTTAAGTCTTCTCAAAACTCACTTTTTGGATCCTTGTTCCTTCTCTGGATCCCTACTCCTCCAGGATTGTTTATAAGTTCTTAGTAGAAAGCCATAAGTTCATTGAAGAAAAGTTAGAAAATATATATGCCAAAGCAGCCCCCAATTTAAAATCACACAAAAAAGTAACCTTTTAACATTTGGCATATTTAGCTTATTTTATTCTTACATTACCCTGAAAAATGGCTATTATTGTCCCCATTTTAGAAGAAGGAAACTGAAGCTTTAGAAAAGTTGATTAATTTATAACTGTTAAGTGGCAGAGCTGGCATATGAACCCTGTCTGTGTGATTTCAAAGCCTGCTCGCTTTTCAGTGTTGTATGCATTCAGTAGTATGTGTCCCTCTCATCTTTTTCTATGCAAGTCCATAGGTTTTTATTTTTCAAAAATAGCATTATACTGTTTATAATTAACAATATGCTGTCATTAATCTTTCCATGACACTATTCTATATAATTTTTAGTCGTTACATAATATTTCTCTTATATGTAATTTAAAAATGTATATACCCTATTGTAGGACCCATAGATTGCTTCCAATTTTCTGCTGTTTTAAACATTGTGATAGACATGCTTATAGGCAAATCTGTGTGCACATCCATGGTTATTTCCCTAAGACAAATTCCTGATTCAGGAGTATGCCCATTTTTAAGGATTTATATATATATATTGCCAAATTTACTTCAGGAAAAAAAATTCACTTTCACTCCCTCTTAAGCAGCGTGTGAGAGTATCATTTCCTGGAGTCCATTATACTCTGCAAATTTGATTGACGCGTAAAAGGCATTTTACTGATGTTTAGTGAACACGTGAGATTTTAAGAGGTTAAATACGTTTATTTATTTATTTATTTATTTTGTGGTACGCGGGCCTCTCACTGCTGTGGCCTCTCCCTTTGCGGAGCACAGGCTCGGGACACGCAGGCTCAGTGGCCGTGGCTCACGGGCCCAGGCGCTCCGCGGCATGTGGGATCTTCCCGGACCAGGGCACGAACCCGTGTCCCCTGCATCAGCAGGCGGACTCTCAACCACTGCGCCACCAGGGAAGCCCTGAATAGGTTTATTTTTAAAACAGCCTTTTGGGAATTCCCTGGCGGTCCAGTGGTTAGGACTCGGCAGTTTCACTGCTGTGTGCCCGGGTTCGATCCCTGGTCAGGGAACTAAGATCCCACAAGCTGTGCAGCACGGCCAAAACATAAATAAATAAAATAGCCTTCTGTATCTCTTCTCAGTCCAGTTCAGCAACATCTACTGAGTGCTGACTGTGTGCCAGGCACTCTAAAAACAGGGGTATGGTGAACAAGTTAAGCAGCGGTCCTGGAGCTCACAGACTAGGGGTGTCATTCACAGTAAGCATACTGATGGAGCCAAAGGTTTTATTTTCCTTTCCTTTCCTTTTTTTCCTCCCAAAGGTTTTGGGAGGAAATGTGCAAACCAAGACCAGAAGCATTAGTAGCCAGTAGGTTTGGGGAGGGCCCCACAGGTGCAAAGGCCCAGAGGGCACAGCATGTATTAAGGCTGAGAACCCCTCTTCTGTCTTCCAGCATTGCAAATATTTTTCCCAGTTTGCCTTTTAATTGTGCTCGTAGTGACTGTGTATAGTAGTTTTAAATTTGTGTGTGTCACATCTCAATCTAGAAAGCCTGTAGAAGTGCAGAGCATCAAATAGCACTTGATTAGGCCCTGAGACTCTCCACTCAGCTACAGAGAATGCCCTCGGACTTGTATTGGCAGGTACTCCATCAGTTTGTCTGCAGAAGGTTTCTCCATCTTTAGAAAGCTAGCGTTCTTTGTTCTCATTTTTTGAGCCTTTTGGAAGTGCTGTCACTGTATGCAGACTGTCTTTGAGGAGAGGGTTAATCCCTGTGCTGTCACTGAGAGAACTGACTTCGTCAGGGGGCCGTCCCAGAGCTAGAACTGGTGAGGTCAGGGATCTCAGAGGACTGGTGAGAGAGCCTTCTCCAGACAGACCCAGCTGTACCAGGCCCCTTGACCCTCCTGCCAGGTACAGAGCTAGACGGGTTAGCCAGGGTTGACAGTCCTGTCTTACCAGTGCCCAACCCACCCAGCCACAGAGCTGCTGATCCTGGCTCATCACTGCTTCACGCTGACATGCCACATGGAGGGCATCATCCGAGTCCTGCAGGCCGCCCGGCTGCTCACAGACAACCACTTGGCCCCCAGTGAGGAGTATGGACTGGTGGTAAGTCACGCCCTCACCTTCACCCTCCATCCTGAGGAAACCTTTGATAGAACAGATAGGCTGGAGACTATCAGCTCAGAGCTGATGTGGTCTTAGGGAATTTACCTATCTGGATACCACTACCTACTTCGTAGCTGGCTGGGCAGTTCAACCCTCTGCTCCAGGTTATGATTTCTGTCCAGAGATTGCTCCAAAGGAATAGAAATCAAAGAGGATCCCTGCCATGCTCCAGGACTGTCATACCCCCTTACCAAGCAGTTAGCTTTTCTAGAGGGCTAAGGTGGCAGTTACTTCCCCCGCAAAACAAGGTTCAGACCTGCCTCTTACATCTGAATTGAAAATTGAAATGAGCAATTGAAATGAGACAACTCAAGCTTCCTGTACCTCCCCCCAAATTCTCTAGGCTCGAAACTGACCCAAGTGTCTGAGCAAGCCATTGGGTGCTGTAATGAGGAGTGGTGGGAAGAGGAAGAGTGCCTGCCCAGGAGGATGGCACTTCAGCACTTGATAGTCATGTTTAGAGACAACAGAGGAGGGGACAGACAGCCAGTGGTTTCCCAATGACTAGCATTTCTGAATCCTCCAGAGAAGGCCCCTGTTGGGTACATGGGATGGGAAGGGGGAGAGAGAGGCAAGGAGGAAAGGAGTTAAGTATGGCAGCCTGGCCACTAACCCTTCTTCCCGCCAGAGTTTGGTATTTGAAAGCAACCAAACTGTTGGGGTAGTGGTCTGGCTCAGAGAACTCCAAGCAATGCTGATGCAAGCTGCCCTCTCCCTTTGTAGGTGCGTCTCCTCACTGGCATTGGAAGGTACAATGAGATGACATACATATTTGATTTGCTGCATAAAAAACACTATTTTGAAGTGCTGATGAGGAAGAAATTGGACCCGGTAGGTGTACAGTATTTTTGAGCTGCAGTATGACATGTACTACTGACACTTGGAAGTCTCAGGTTTTCTCAGGATTAATTCCAATCAGGATGGACTCCCGGGATATAGAGGGAGGGAATTAAGGACCTCCCTAAGACATATACTGTAACCAGTAGCTTAAGGTTACAGAGCTCAGACCAGTTTAGAGTGGAGAGTTTTCAGGGGACCATGAAAAAGTGTGTTGTCGAGAGCTATTCAGAAGTGAATGCCAAGGTCTGGGTCTAGAAAGCTGTGGAGCTATTTATGATGATGACCAGGAAGGAGGCTGGGAAGAAAAAGCCTAACTTGCCAGGCCTTTGGTCTCTGGGCACTTGTCTGTCCTCAGCATACTATGTGACACCAGGCATGCACTCAGAGCCTCTGTTTTCACGTTATTCATTGGCTGATTCATTGTTTTCACCCATTTCACCTCTAAAGATTTAAAAACCCATGGGACTTCCCTGGCGGTTCAGTGGTTAAGACTCTGCGCTTCGGGGAACTAAAATTAAGATCCCACATGCTGCGTGGCGTGGCCAATAAACAAATAAATAAAAACAAACCCAGGTGCACTTTTGACATCTGGGAACTTGGGCCCAGCCAAGCAGGATTAAGAGACAAAGCAGAAAAACTCTCCTCAATGCTGGGCTAGTTTCAGGACAGACCAGTCCAGTTGTAAGGAAAGGAGCAAGTCCTGGACACAGGGACACCTTCAGGATTTTAAAAATGGTTTTTGAGGCATTTTTGTTCCTGCATTTAAATATTCTTTTAATAACTTTGTTTCTGATTACAAAAGTAATGAATATTCAATGTTAAGACGCTTAACGGGTGCTCGCTTTGGCAGCACATATACTAAAAATTGGAACGATACAGAGAAGACTAGCATGGCCCCTGTGCAAGGATGACATGCAAATTCGTGAAGCGTTCCATATTTTAAAATAAAAAGACACCTGGAAAACAGAACACGAAAAAAAGCCCTGTGTGTCTAGCTACTGTCTGCAGACAGCCACTGCTAACAATTTGGTATAGGCCCTTTCTTTGCACATATACCCACATATACACATACATGTTCACATATTTTTATCAAACTTCTGTCATGCTGTGCAGATAGGAAATAGCCTGCTTTTCTCAGTTAATAATAAGCATGAATAATTTTCAAGTCAACATCGGTTTTAATGGCTACATGGTGTTCTCTTAGATCTTATTCTGGACATCTGGAATATTTCTAATTGTTTGCTATTAAATATCCTTGTTACATCCATCTTAGCACGTCCCTCTGCTTGCTTCTTTAGGGATAGAGTCCTAGAAGTGGAATCGTTAAGACTAATGCACGTGTGTACATTTTTAAGGCTTCTCGCCTCTGACAGGTCTTACCATTTACACTCCCACCAGCAGAGAGGATGTGCCTGTTACCTTATACTCAGGATAGTATAAACTTCTGTATTCATTTTTGCTTATCTTTTCCTTTTCCTTGGGAGTTTCTGAGGAACTTTCAGAATCAGAGGACTAGGCCAGTCCTGCTTACCTTGCAATACGTGGCTGAGACCTTGGTATCCCCCCCTTTTTTCTGGGCAGAGTGGTACCCTGAAGACGGCCCTACTGGACTACATCAAACGCTGCCGCCCTGGGGACAGTGAGAAGCACAACATGATTGCCCTGTGTTTCAGCATGTGCCGGGAGATTGGGGAGAACCATGAGGCAGCTGCCTGCATCCAACTGAAATTGATTGAGTCTCAGCCCTGGGGTGAGCAGAGGTCACAGCAGCACCTCCAGGGCAGTGATGCTGGCCAGGGAAGGTTCTCAGGGCTAAGCAGGGCAAGAGTCCATGAGACTAATACCCACCCCAGCTTCTAACATTTATTTAGGGGGGCCCCAGGGGGCAGAAAGGAGACAGAAGGGGGGTTGGAAGGCATTTTACCCCTCTTGTAGCCAGTGCATCCAGGGGTGTCACCTGTCAAGAACCAATGTATGTTGATGCCGTGTAAGCCTGCCTTGCTGTTTCAGAGAGAAATTGAACTAGATGGGGCAGTGAATCCTACTCCAGTGTGTGTACTTTTGGCCCAATAGCCTTTACCTGAGTGAGACATACCTGCCTCCCTGTGAACATGAGCTGTTCACAGCAACAAACATGGGTTGTTTCTATAGTCCACCCTACTACTGAATGGGATGAGAGTACCCAGCCTTGGGAGTCAGACACACCCAAGTTTCCTTTACTCCCCTGCAGAGGACAGCCTCAAGGATGGGCACCAACTGAAGCAGCTGCTGCTGAAGGCCCTGACTCTGATGCTGGATGCAGCAGAGAGTTATGCCAAGGTAACCACGAGAGTCTTACTCCAGACTGGACTTGGGGCTTGGTGTCTGCAGTAGGAATAATTTTATTTTGTTCCATTGCTGGAGGGTTCACAGGGGAGATGACGGCAACCAAGTCTTTATCTGTGCCTACTGCCACCCTTATCCCTCAGGACTCCTGCGTGCGACAGGCCCTGCACTGTCACCGGCTCACCAAGTTGATAACACTGCAGATTCACTTTCTGAACACCGGCCAGAACACAATGCTCATCAACCTGGGCCGCCACAGGCTGATGGACTGTATCATGGCCCTACCTCGGTTCTACCAGGTGAGCAAGGAACAAAAACCTAGCCCGTGCTGCCAGCATCCTCTCTCCTGCTGTCCCTGTCATGGGACCCAGAAGCTGAGTGGTTTACCTAAGGTCTCAGGGCTAGTGACAGAACCAGGACAGTCCAGCTCTCCAACTGCCTTTCCATAGTAGTATTTACCAGCATATTGTCTGGGCAGAGGTTGGAGAACAGTGAGACATACTGTCTCCTTTCCCCATGCTATTAAGCCAGCAGAGAGGCAGACATCTTTGCACTTAAGGTAGTTGAGGTTCAGGGGAACATCCCTGCTAGTGGTCCTGTGAGCATCTCTTAGCCCCAGCATTTCCAGACCAGTGCACTTGGGTTAGCATAAAAAGTCAGGGCTTCTGAGAGGCTGGTTCTAGCCCTTTAACAAGGAGGGATGGTTATCAGGGAATCAGCCCTTTCACTGTTCCTTAGAGAGTTGAGTTAGAAAAATATTCATCAGCAGTTCTTTTAACCCACTGTGAGGAAGATTAAAAACACTGAAGGAAGGTGTTTGGGGTGTCAGGGAAGGGTAAACAGCAAACTTTTCACCAACCCTGATGATACATAGAGCCTTCTAACATAATTGGTGATGATAATACTGTACACCCATAGAGTGACTATGAAGTCATTTTCTAGAGCAGTTTGCCTTCAGTTTTACATCAAATAGGCTCTAATGGTGTCCTCCTTCCCCTCCATCCTTTTAAGGCTTCTATTGTGGCTGAGGCCTATGACTTTGTTCCTGATTGGGCTGAAATTCTATACCAACAAGTGATTCTTAAAGGAGACTTTAATTACTTGGAAGAATTTAAGCAGCAAAGGTTATTAAGATCCAGTATATTTGAAGAAATTTCAATAAAGTAAGTATTAAAATGCCTCTGCTTTGAGATCAGCACGGGTAAGAATTTTATGACTACGTATAACATGCCTATAGGCTACCTCTCTGCTTGAGATGGCAGAGAGATGTCAAGAATACCCAGAAAGACGATCTTTTGACAAATTTATGCAAACAGATGAATGAGAAAGTTTGCTTATGGTGCTCTGCACTTAAAATGGGAGGAGAGCTACTCAGCTTGTCTGAGGTGCCAAAAGCACTAAACATCAGAGGTCCCCTTTGGAGTACTGAAATTATTCTAATTAAGGCCAGCATTAAGATGCTCATTTTTAATGAAAAAATTTCATTGTCTATCAAGCCCTCCCTAATAGTCTGAATGATTTCTCAGATTCAAGCACCCTCTCCTCTGTAGACAGTGATAAGTATCAGAGCTGATAGCCCTCGTTCAAGATGCAATATCTTAACCTGTACGTTCTTGTTTCTTTGTCTAGATGTAAACATCATCAGCCTACTGACTTAGTTGTGAAAAACCTGAAGAAGTTACTCACATATTGTGAAGATGTCTACTTGTATTACAAGCTGGCATACGAACACAAATTTTATGACGTTGTAAATGTGCTTCTGAAGGACCCTCAGACAGGTTGCTGTCTAAAGGACATGCTAGCAGGTTAGCTGGATTCAGATGACATGAGGATGGTTACTGCCAGAAATTCATACATGCCTGTTTTCTTATACTGAAATGAGGTACTGACAGATGTTTGTGGTCAGACTAGAGAAATGCCATGTAAAACCCCAGGACTGACCATACCAGTCCTTTGTGAATAGTGGGTGAAGAAGGAGAATTTTCACAAGGAACTTCCTATTTGAAAATAATTATTCATCTATACCATTTTATATAGATATTGGTATTAGGATCAAAAGTCCATCTTCCTCAGGATAGCTTCTACTTTAGGAGATGATACAATATTTAGTAAAGAATACCTGTGCCTGCAGATTCCAGTTTCAAAGGAATTTAATATTATTTACACAGTTAAGGAACAGATGATACATTTCCATTTATTAGAAACTGATCTCTATAATAAAATAAGATTTTAAATTCAGTGTACGTCATTATTACTGCTAAGGAAATCTTAGCCCTTGTCTGCCTTAAAACAGTCTTTATTGGCTGTAATTATTGCTGTCTAGTCACTGCTTTCTGTTAATTCCTCAAATCATTTAGATGGTCCTGTCTTCCACTGAGTGGTCTACAGAGCTTTGATTGAGGATCCTACTTCCTGTGTAAGAGAAATTTAAAATATTTTTTGCTCTGTCCCTACTTTTGAGTCTGTGGCAGTTTCAAAAAAAGACTCCAACCACAGATTTGGTTAAATTGCTTAAAAGAAAATATATAATAGAGACGATCACCCTATCTCTGCTTACAGCCACAACCTGAGTTATAAGTTCAATTACTCCAAATAAATAGGTCTTCTAGGTACTTAATTAGGCCTTAGTATCTAACCAACCAACCAATTTCCCCAAATAAATAAGAAGAGGAAGGCAGCGCTATGCCTTTGTTGCTCTAGGGTGACACTATTAAGGACCTCACAAATCATTTTTGTTTTAAAACTACATCTACTCATCAAGCACTTAGTAAGCTTTATAAGTATACAGAGAACTCTAGTCCCAAGAGCTTTGTTCTTTACTCTCCAAAAATATCTCTTGGGAGGTAACACAAAATTTAAGTCCTCACAATAGTAACTTTATTAAATTAGTTGCTTTATAAAACATTGCAGATGTCATAATTGTTAACATAACAATTTACCAAACTGTAGTTAAGTGGCACAGTTTGCCGAACACGTTTTATAAAGGAAAGGAAATGCCAAAACCCTGTTAAAGCTGATCCACTGCAGCCTCAGACAACAAAGGAGATTTGTTTCTCAGACACTTAAATCAGACAAATAAAATAGGTAAGGAGTTTCCCTCCCCCATCCGAAGCACTCCATCAGTAGAACAGTCTGATAAACAGAAACTAGACAGTCTAGCATTCAAGAGATTCCACAACTTGGTAATGCAATAATGGAGAGGTTGACCTTCTTCAGCTTCCAAGTTGGAGGGTTTTGGTCATTTAATTTTTAAGTATCAAACTAGTGCTTTTCAGCCGCCGTATCTTCACTCTGAGATAAGCAGTCTTCTTCACAATGCATTTTTAATATCCTCGCGCTCAATTTTAAGACAAAGCAACTTTAATACTAGGTGCACACCACATGCCCTTGCAGCAGACTGCTTTTCTCGACAAGTTATGAAGTAGTTCAAGGAGGTATGGTTAAGGCTGTATTACTGAACGGTGCTGGTAAATACTACACAATTTTTTGTCATGTTGCAACCTTTGTTTCCAATTTAGTGACTGCTGCTATGGAATCAGATAGCAACAACAACATTATTAGGTCTGTTTTTTTAAACTGTGATTTAGTAGCAATGGAGGGTCCCAATTTTAACCCCTTGGCAGCAAGATCCAAGTTCCCTCATTTGCACATTAGCACCTAAGTGTCAAGGGGTTAATAACCAGCACAAAAGATACTGTACTTCTGATTGTAGCATTTGGCAGAACTGAAAGGAAAGGAAGTTGTGCTACATGTTGAAGGGATTGTGGGCAACAGAAAGAAGACACCAGGAGAAGATAAAACGTCACATGAAGTCTTCAAAATCTTGTACATATCCTCCATCATAACCACCATAATCTGCCAGATCATCTTTCATGGTAGCCTTTAATCCCCCTCCGGGAACCACACCTTTCTTCTTCTTTTTGGCTTTGCTTTGCTGAAGATAAAAAGAGAATTCATTCATGAGATTTTTATCTACTATGGGCATCTTATATGGTACAGCAACCCTCAATAGAGTCAACAAAGCTCTGCTTCCAGAAAAACCTTAGTTCTCTAAGGGAGATCCCACACTTGACCCAGAGGAATTTCTATTATTAATTCAGAAAAACATAAACATGTCTGTAAACAAAAGGATGGTAATGGCACTCATACTCCTGTTCTACTTCAGTATAAATGGTATTGGTGAATTGCTTGACTTCTCAGGCTCCTACTACACTTGTTGAGAATATTATGCCTATACCCCATCCTTGTGTAATACACATTTCCCACGCAGCTAGCTCTTACCTTTTCTTGCTTCTGTTTTTCACTGCAAAGTACAGTCAATGAATTGGTAATCTTTTTCAAGTCATCAATTTCCACTAAAAAAAAAAAAAAAAAAAAGCATACCAGTAATTTGGAGAATAAGTAAAAGCAAAATATACATTCTTCTACCTAATTTGTCCATCACTAACTTCGGTAACTTGGAAAGGCTATTAATTTCTCCTGTTTAACATAACACGATGGAGAATCATTCAGTCTATGGCTAGGCTCACAGATCAAAACCGTTTGAAGTAAAATGGCAAACTCAGCAACAAAAATTTATAACGAACTCTAATTATAATGTGTAGAAATGTCTTTATAGCTCACAGTGCTCCCTACCATTTTTCCTTATCCGGTCTAAATACACAGAGAATAACCATGACTTATGGAAATAAACATCCTTGATGCTCAGTGAGGAGTATCTGAATGAATATGTAACGACAATTCTTTTTTTTGCGGTTCACGGGCCTCTCACTGTTGTGGCCTCTCCCGTTGCGGAGCACAGGCTCCGGACGCGCAGGCTCAGCGGCCATGGCTCATGGGCCCAGCCACTCCGCGGCATGTGGGATCTTCCCGGACCGGGGCACGAACCTGTGTCCCCTGCACCGGCAGGCGGACTCTCAACCACTGCACCACCAGGGAAGCCCATGTAATGAGAATTCTTAAACTTACAGATGATAACTCCCCACCCCTTGGGGTCGCCATTTTCTAGCATAGGAATGAGAATGAAAGTGGCAGTTATCTCAGAAATCGAGTAAGTGCCCCACCAGGAAATAAGCCCATTTAGTGGACAACACATCCTTCCATCCTTATAAAAATATAAAGCTGGAAACAGACATGAGTTTTTAGCTACCCAAAAAAGTGTTCAGTCTGGTTAGAGAGCACCTTCAAAAACAGTAAAAATAGTATACGGAAAATAAAATACCAACTATGGGTAGATCACTGATCAAATTCAGAACCTTCAGCTTAATAGCAATTTCCCAAAGAAAACCTAACTTAAAATTCATTGTGTAGGGACTTCCCTGGTGGCACAGTGTTTAAGAATCTGCCTGCCAATGCAGGGGACACAGGTTCAAGCCCTGGTCCGGGAAGATCCCACATGCCGTGGAGCAACTGAGCCCGTGCACCACAACTACTGAGCCCATGTGCCACAACAACTGAAGCCCGTGCGCCTAAAGCCCGAGCTCCGCAACAAGAGAAACCACCACAATGAGAAGCCCGTGCACCGCAAGGAAGAGCAGCCCCCGCTTGAGGCAACTAGAGAAAGCCGTAGTTGCCTGCAGCAACGAAGACCCAACGCAACCAGATTAATTAAAAAAAAAAAAAACATTGTGTAGAATTCATTTTTCTCAATCTTAAAAAACAGCAGACAGGGCTTCCCTGGTGGCGCAGTGGTTGAGAGTCCCCACGGGTTTGTGCCCCGGTCCGGGAAGATCCCACATGCCGCGGAGCGGCTGGGCCCGTGAGCCATGGCCGCTGAGCCTGCGCATCCGGAGCCTGTGCTCCGCAACCGGAGAGGCCACAACAGTGAGAGGCCCGTGTATAGCAAAAAATAAATAACAGCAGACACTAGCAAAAGCAGTCCTTCCTTCCCACCTTAGTGCTATACCACCCCAGGTTGTCACTCCCATATCCCCTGCCCCTGAAATATATGACTCAGCATGAAACCAAATCCATGGACCCAGAGAATGGGTGCCAGCTCTGCTGAGCAACTTGCACCTGGCCATGGGCTTCCTCATTTATAAAATGAACAGACACTCGCTGTGGTCTCACTCAGCTCTAAAATTCTGTATGATTTTCCCCAAAAGACACTTTGCTAGCCGCCGCCTCCAATATATAAGTAGATAAAATAAGAAACTAGTGTTTTATTAGCTGTTTGTCAACAAGCACAGATGTCTCTTTGGGAAGCCACGGTAAAAACACTCAGAAGGCACCCTCAAAAAACAAAAACAAAACCACTCAAACTCAATGCATATCTGCAGAACAACACTCCCAAGCTAACTGCTAAAAGGAAATCTTAAATATATTAGAGCATCCCCTGCCCTCAAAAGTCAATCTCCATTCTCCTAAGTATGATGTACCCCTACACATCCATTCACAGAGGCCAGAGGTTAGAATTACTTACATGAAATACACACATCTCGAACTAAGGCTTCCAAAAAACTGGCATAATATAGTGATTTTTCATATTGTGTAATTTTGTCTTTTAGTAACTTTCCAAACTCTGTGAAGTCATCCCTTGAAGATGGGTTCATAGCATCTATTCCATAAACTGTATTATTAACACCTGTAGGAGAAAGGGGACACAGAAAATATCAGAAAGGTTTTTTTAAAGTTTAGAAACTAATTAGATACCTGAATAACCCTGTTATTTCATTCTAAAACAGAGGTTCTTAACCTGAGTCTACTGAAATCCTTGGAAAGAATTCAAATGGTCTGTACATAATTACTGTATCACAGGTTATTTCAGTATTTTGATACCTATTTCATTATAACAGGTTTCCTTTGTAAGTA